CTCTCTCTCTCTCTCTCTCTCTCTCTCTCTCTCTCTCTCTTCCCCTCTCCTTTTCTCGATCGTTCCTCGTTGTAGACGTTTCTATCGGAACGACGATCTCGGTAAAAAAAGAAAGAAAAGAAAAAAAAAAGAAAAAATCTCTCCTCGAGTACTTCGAGGCGAGTGTCGACCGTTTAACGTCGGCGTGGTTTCGGTACAGCCGACGAAAGGCGACGTAATCGAGCACCGGCTGTCCGATCTCGTTCACCGAAACGGATCCGTCCTGTCGGTCGATCGGTCCGTCTATCGTCCGTCCACCGTGGATCCACCGTGGATCGTCGCTCGAGAACGATTTCTCGTCGGAACGTGGTAAAAGGAGACATTCGGAGAACCTCGAAACGAAATCGCGATGCGAGTTTCACGGACGTCGACTCGTCGTTTCCGAGGACCGATCGAACGATCGATCCACGATTCACGAGAAGAGCGGCGAAACGAGACGGGACGGGACGGTTTCGAGGCGAAATTAGAGAGAACGGTCGATAATGGCGCGGATAGACAAACGCAGTTTGTGCGTTGAGCCGGTCCTTGACGCGCGTCGCGTTCGGAACGTGGTCTCGAAACGGAAGGAACAAAAGAGCTGGTTGTCGAAGGGGGACGACGTAACGACAGGGCAGTGGCTCATCGGGTGTCGAGAACGAATACCACAAATCCTTTCGAATGTGCCTTTAGCGCGTCTCCCCGGTATCTCGCTCTCTCATGAATACTGCAAATACCGCCCGGTATTCGTGGATTGGAGTAGCTCTTTCTTGGCCCCGGTGGGAGGGGTAGAGTAATGTGTGGGCATTGTCGAACAGTGGAGAGGAGAAAGGGACAGTTTCGACCGCGTATTCCGATGCTCGCCGGCAGTCGTGTGTCGTATCGTTTGTAAGTTGACAGCCACCATTGCGGTTTGACGATCGACCATCCGTCAATCCGACTCCAGCGACGCTTCGAGGAGACGAGAGGCCTTGGAGGTAGAGAAGAAAAAGTACGTTTGACGTCGCATCACTTATCGAACTCGCTCCACCAACCCTTAAAACCCTTCTTTTGCTCGTCCACGCACGAATTTCCAAATTCTATCTCTACCCACGCGTGTATCCGGAGTACCAGACATGTGCCACGCGTTCGATATCCGCGTTTCCCCATCCCATTCGATCAGTTTAAATTCTTCGTTCGATCGATCCTCACGACGATAGCCACGTATACGCCAACGTGTACGCGAGAGTACAAACGAGGTGGCAAACGGGTGGAGGACGACNATTCGAGAGTCGTTTGACGTCGATCGCGAGAGACAGAGAGAGAGAGAGAGAGAGAGAGAGAGAAAAGATGAGCGTAAAATTGGCGTAAAACGCGAGGATGGTGGTCAGAGTTTGGCATCGCGTCTTCGGGAACCCCAGCGTGAGATCGTTT